TGCCGCTCCCGCGCCTCGCTCAGCCAGCGGGCGGGAACCGGTCTGTATGTGGGATCCGAACCCTCGGGCGGGAGCCCCGCCGCACCTCCCAAGCGGCGCACTATCCAGTGCGCCACCGGGCCGGCCCTAACTAAATTCTTTTAACAGGAAAAATATCTACAGTGTGCTAAATTTATTTCGTATTTCATTTCACACTTCTAATTAAGGTTTTGTGCCACATGTATGTGCATGTTTGTACTGTGCACTCCAAAAATAATTGAAGATAATTTTTGTCCCACAGGACAAAAATAAAAAGGAAACAAACCAAACACCTGTGAATTTATTAAAAAGATCTAAAAAGGTAGATAAAATCCAGAAAGTTGGACTAAGATAATTATTGCTATTGAGGATTGAACTTAGCTATGCATTCTGGCAGCTAAAAATACATTAAAAATTTTTTGATTTGGATGGTTCTCACTGACTGATACCTAAGTATATCACTTTTGTCTGGAGAAAAAATTGTGGAGGGGGGCCTCTGAATTCAAGGCATCTTTATATAAGACTCTAATAGACCGTGTTGAAATGCATTGAAAAAGATGCAATTTTTCCACTGAACTTTTCCTATGTTGACTCTTTTTTAAAAAACTGGGACAACACAGTTAAATTCTTAGTTTCTGAGTATTGTAAGTTCAATCAAAGCAAACCAATGTCTTTCACTGTTAAAAACATTTTATGGCTTTATGCTTTTTAAAATAGAGTATGTTTTGGTTACTCCCACCTTTTCCACCTCCAACTTGAGAAAGACTGTGGCCAAATTAAAGATATTTTACAGTTTTAAAACCTTAAAATTTTCTGTAAAATGTTGATTTTAAGTCAGATTTAATAGTTGGGTAGAAAGGCTTTTATTTTTTTAAACTGATTTTATAATACCATGAACTTTTGTTTTTCTTAGAATAAACTAAAGAATTAATACAATTAGATAAAAGATACAAGTCTTCCCTCATTTCTAGTGACCTCCTTTAATAGGCAGTCACTATCAACAGTTTCTTATCTATACTTCCAGGGATTTTCTAGGCATAAACCCAAATATATATCTTACGTTGTAGTTTGTTTTTTAATATAAATAGGATTACATTATAATACTGTTCTGCAGTTGGTTCTTCTCATTTAAGGACAGTTCTTAGTCACCTTTCTTTATTAATATGTATACAACTAGAGTAGAAATATCAAGCTGTTCGGCGTCATATAGATGTACCTGGAGTTTAGGGTTGTTTTATCTATTAGATAAGTCCTTTAGTTTTTAAGAAACTTAAGCTAATTTTCTTAACAAATAATTTGACTGTAAAGATTGTAATAAAATTCATTTACTTATTCAGCAAATATTTCTTGAGTACCACTGCATAGAAGGCATCTTCTAAGCAGTCAAGATACAGTGAATAAGGTACTCTTATGGCGTGTACATTCTAGAATACATAGGTAGGAAGCTGTTACTGAGATAATGTACTTTAAAATCCAAAAGATAAAGCTTAAACTTTTTTCTTATGGAGGAAAGGATGATATTGCTCTCAGACAAGTTTAAATTTTAACTGAGTTTATTTGAGAGAGAAAAAAAAAAAAAACCCACCAGCAAACCCAAACAAAACAAAGCGAACAAAACAAAAACAATTCATGAATCAGCCCTTCAAACAGAAGGCTCAGAGAACTCCTTATTAGTTTGATCTGTTATGCTCATTGTAGGAGCCTAGTCCAAATCAATGGCCTCCCATAAATTTTATTTAACAGTTCTCCCCATTTGGTGAGATTCTCACCTGTGTGAAAGTGTAACCAAAACATAGGGCATGAGTGCTACTCTCAGCCACCATCATCCTGGATTACCGGTCTCAATATGTCGTTCATAGATTGTGGTCTCCTCTTAATCACATATTCCTTTGAATTCTTAGCATTTCAGCCAAGTAGAGACTATTTTGCACTCAGCAGGTGGCTTCACATGGACATTTAGGAACTCTTGAGAGAATACAGCAGGGAAACTACTATTATGACTATTAGGAGAATAATACCAAGAATTTGGAGTATGCCCTGTAGCAGCCAAGGTCCTCACAAATCAGACAGCCTGTTTGGTTGGTTTTTTGTACCTTAGTCTCTACAGTATGCACTGTATTTATCTGTGTGCAACATAAGTATCACACTGCACAGACTCCTCCATGTTCAGTTAGTAAGTAATCTAGCACCTCATCATGGGGTTAAATTAAAACAGGGAGTGAGAACTAGTGGGTTCATATGTCTAGTTACAGCATTATCCTGTCAAACAAACAAAAAAGTAGGCATAAGCAAGGCAAAATTAAGAAGGGCAAAAGTCTGATTATGATGAGGATTCTTGTCCCAATATCTTAGGGGAAAAGCTGTCTATACATACTAAGACGTCATCTACTTCTGGGAGAAGAAAACTTCCCTGGTCAACTTTTACCTTAAAGTCTCCAATAGGTGTACAGTTTCAAGAGTCTGGGGGCCCTTTTAAGTTGTAAAATGTGGATCCAAAGTTCAAGACCCTAGAGCTTTACTGCAGTATGGGTGGTAAAAAGAATCTGGTATGGTCCTTTCCGGTGGGGTTCAAGGGCAGTTCTTTTCCAGTGCATTTTCTAAAAGACCTAATCTCCAGGTATACTAGATCATGAAAAGTTTGTTTGTCATTAGTTAGCGGATCACAAAATCTTCCTTCATATGGTGAAAATACACCTTGGCATAATACATTAAAGCCATGCAGTATTTAGTCATATCAGAATTTAAGAAAGCAAGAGACACATGAGATTCCATTACTAAGGGCTTAGGCCTTCCACTATTTCATCCATTAAAGCTGGTGATAGTACCCTTGGCCAAGGCAATCCAGTTAACTCACCCTGCCAGTTTCAAATGCTATTTATCCTTTCAACTTTTCCAAAAGACTGAAGATGATAATAGGGACTATGACCATGCCATTGTGTTCATAATACCCTGTTTAACTGTTTTATAATTTGCCCAGTAAAATGGACTGCCTGTTGCTGGAGATCTCTATGGAGATATCTCAGAATGAAAACACATTTTTCAAAAACATTTATCAACTGTTTTAACATTGACCTTCCTACATAGAAAGCTATATACAATCACAGAACATAGGTTATTAGAACTTATTTATATCCCACAAAGGTGGCAGTTGGATGAAATACCTTATAAATGTTCAAATGGTCCATCGGGTAGCAGAAATTTGTCACCTGTAGTTTTAGTTATCCTCTGAGGATTATGGGCTTGACAAACCAAACATTGACCATAAAAGCAATTTAGCAATTTCAGAATAGTCACCCCACTGATATTTGCTCAGATTTTGGGTCGTTTAGTCTGTTTCATGCTGAGTTGCAAGGCTCCCAACAACAGAATCTCAAGGACTCAGGGAAGACCAGGTGGCCATCCGGGCCTTCTGT